GCCTTCATCTGGATTTGTCTCTGGGCTGTTTTACACGTCTTGCTGTTTTCCACCCGCCCTACACTTTTCAATGCGTTTCCCTGTTATTTTCCAAACCTCAAAATGTTGTTGGTTTTTAAAAATGTGAATCTGCTGTGCTAGGATGAGAGAGAGAGAGCTTTAACTACGCATACCTAAAATTCAATACGTGCTCGACTCCCTCTTGAAAAATGCAGTCTGGAGGCCCCCAAAGACTCTCCGACTACCTGAAGGTGAATCCAACTATTTCTTTAACTAATAGAGAGGGGGAAAAACATTTGAGACTGAGGGAAACAGGGAGAAAGAACCAAGAAAACAGTATTTGCTTTCCAGCCAGTGATAACTCAAAACCAGTGGTAACTGGTCCTCTCTGCCAGACTAGCTGGTCTTTCCAGCTATGCTGCTGTGACATAAACAATCACAAGTCTTGAAACAAATGAAAGCAGGACAGATCAGGTTTGGTCACCTGGGACTCTTGCAGAACAGCAATGATTACAAGGCTCTTTCTTAAGGAACGTTCATACTTCTATTGTGTTTGTATTGTTATAGGGTTTTTTTTGGGGGGGGCTCCCCTAAATCCTAGAAATTAATAAATGGTAGGATTTTGATTATTTGGGATGTGAAGGCAGAAATACAAGCTGCAGAGCCAATACTACTACTACTACTACAACAACTACAACAACAACAACAACAAAAACCCCACAAAACCCTGACCTGGCCAATCTAGGGCCATTAAGAAACAATTTAGGGCCATTTGCAAGAACATTTGCAAGAACAGAGGTATTTAAGGCATAGCAGGTTGCCTTGTGGTGGCACTGTAGGTTAAACCACAGAGCCTAGGACTTGCCAATCAGAAGGTCGGCAGTTCGAATCCCCGCCAAGGTGGTGATCTCCCGTTGCTCGGTCCCTGCTCCTGCCAACCTAGCAGTTCGAAAGAACGTCAAAGTGCAAGTCGATAAATAGGTACCGCTCCGGCGGGAAGGTAAACGGCGTTTCCGTGCGCTGCTCTGGTTCGCCAGAAGCGGCTTAGTCATGCTGGCCACATGACCCGGAAGCTGTACGCTGGCTCCCTCGGCCAATAAAGCGAGATGAGCACCGCAACCCCAGAGTCGGTCACAACTGGACCTAATGGTCAGGGGTCCCTTTACCTTTACCTTTAGGTTGCCTTGATAGCTAGCCTAGCAGGAGCAAGCGCACCTTAGTCTAGCTGGGTCTACTCTGAATTTTATGAAGTCCTCCCCAAGTTGAACCAGACACAAAATGGTCACTTCGGGTGGGGAGGCAGAGCGAGATACAAAAAACGATGGCTCAATGGATGGACTGGGCTATCCGTTTGGTTTATTATTTTTATCTGTTTATTTGGTGTGGGGATTTTACAACTGCCGTCGTTTATACTCTTCTACACCCGTAGGAATCTGGTTGTCCACTGTGAGAGCAGGACGCTAATCCAACAGGGCTCCTCTTCTATCGAGACTTAGGTAGTAGGCAGCATATGTGTATTTTTTAAAAAATACATTGGAATACGCTACCTGTGCAGGTATACCTTGCCCCATGAAATGTGCCACCTTCCTCACATTATTATTTTTTCTTTTTAGCTTTTTTAAAAATTAAATATTTTATTGATATACACAAGTGTGTGCAATGTCTCTCTCTTGTATTCCGCCCCGCCCCCCCAATGTTACATTTTTACAAATCAGTTTCATTTGTTGGGACATTGTTAAATACCTTTTCAATCTAGAAGGCTTTTAGTTTATGAGGCAGGCAATGCCTTAATGATCTTTTTAAACTGCTGGGGGGGGGGTTTATAATTAATTTTATAATGAATGATTTTAGAATGTTGTTTATGCTGTACTTTTGCACTGTTTTATTGTTGTTAGCCGCCCTGAGCCCGGCTTCGGCTGGGGAGGGCGGGATATAAATAAAATTTATTATTATTATTATTATTTATTTTGTAATAGTTTTAGATTGTTTTATGAAAAGGGTAAGTATTGCAATATATCAATATATTTGTATACAGTATAAACACACACGTTGGCGTTATTACAGTTCAAGGATCTGTTACGGAAGAGGGGGGCATGTCTTCTTCACCTTCTTCTTCGCTACAATATATCCATTTATTCCCAATTGTCAATGTCAAAAGGGACTAAAATCTATAAAATTCATAGAAAATCAACGTGCCAATTTGCTCAATTTCTCTAGGACTCCATGACACCTCCCCTGTCCTCCATAATCCCTCAAGTAAAACCCTAATCCTGTCAAATCACTCTGCCAAGCCTTTCCTCCGGGCAATGCCAGGTGGCAGACCATGCATACATGGACCATTGTCTTCCCATCACCGGCACTCAGGAAGCGCTTATCTGCGCATATCTCCAGCTCTGCATATTCCCCCCTCCCTCCTCCATATGTTAATCCGGCGTAACCCAACCTCTCCTTAATGTATTCATGATGTAATCTGTGTAACCCAACCTTTCCTTAATGTATTCTAGATGTAACTGGGATGTATTTTGCACTGTATTCTGGGACATGAAGGGAGTTTCAAAAGTTCATGTCACCCCTTTCTCGCTGTTCAATCTCGTCTTGAACCTGTTGCGCAATAAACTTGGATCTTCTGCAGTTTGCTCCTGTCCGGCTGAGCTCATTTTCTTCCGCAGGGACCCGCGGACTTACTTAGTCCGACGAGCTGGGTGGCAGAATAGCCCCGCACCCAGATTTAGCCATAACAGATCCTAACATAAAACCCTAAAGTTGGCCAGGAATCTGCCCAAAATACGTGGGCAAAGACAATACAAATATTTTACGGGTGAGGGAAAAGTGAGGCATAAGTGAGACATTACCGCAAGGCAGACCGAGTCAGAGAATGTGTTGGGTTTTTTTGTGCTATTGTTAAACTATTGTGAGTCAAAAATCCTTGCCTACCTACTGCGGATCACCCAAAAATACCAGTAGATCCAGATCTACTTCCTGTCTGCCCAGGTACAGAGTGATTTATTTATTTAGATGATTTATATGCCACCATTTGTACTGGCCACAGGGTGCTTTGCAAGAAAAACAAGCAGGCAAGAATACATAAAATCTGCAAGAATAGCACAGCCCATTAAGAAATGCACAACTATTCACTGAATGATAGTTTCTAGTAGCAGCAGTTGCTCCTCCCCTATAAGCATCTCTTGACCAACCACATGAAGCGATAAAGAGATGAAGTCAGACACACCTCAGAAGGGAGAGATTTCCATATGCAAGGAGCCACCACTGAAAAGGCCCTTCTCTGGGCACTCACATCATCACCATTATTGGTTACATATATTTGTTTGCTTACTACCAAAAAATAGTTTCAAAGTGACTTATAATAATTAAAAAACACCAAAATCTCAAAATACATTATTGATTATAAGAGCTCATCTTGCAATAACATAAAAAGGATAAATAAAAACATATTCACACAGCACCTAGAGGTTGACTGTGATGGTGCCAGGCACATCTCACTGGGGAGAACATTCCATAATTGGGAAGCCACCACCGAGAAGGCCTGATCTTGTCTCTGCACTTTCCTCAAAAGAGATCATGTACCTCATCCTACCTAGGGATCACCAGGAAAACCTCTTATGCTGAATTTAAAGCAAGGGCAGGCTTTAAAGGTTATCTTGCAGATATTTGGGTCCTGAGCTGTGACATGAATGTTATTATGTACAACACTTAAGAGAGTTTTCTGACTAAACAGCCTATACATTCATTTAAATAACTATAGTAAGTACAAAAACAAATAGGAATACCAGCACGTTAAACATCACAATCTGGCCAGATCATACATACAGACAGTGGAGGTTTTCATCACTCCCTTAGGCCTAATTTACACTGTACATTTAAAGCTGTATCCTATCACCTTGTACAGTCCTGGCTTCCCCCAAAGGATCCTGGGAAATGTAGTTCTTTGAGGGGAACAAGGCTCTCCTAAAAATTATCGGCACCCTTAACAAACTGTGAATCGTTCTCTGATGCCATACGCATGCACATGTAACACAAACTACACCTACCAGCAGTCTTTGGGGGGGAAAGCCATGACTGTGTAAAGTGCAATGATACTGCTTTAAGACTGGTCTTTTTGAGAAATGGCACAAGCCCTACTAGGGCCTTGTTTGTTTCTATTTTAATTTAAAGAAATATTTATAAACAGCTGATATAAAATACCAAAGTAGCGTACAACAAAATATTGCGAGTGAAAATAATAATGTGTCAGAAAAACGATACAATAATCATTTTTTAAACGGCTGGCTCATCTGAACAGGCCTCTTGGCATGAAGAGACACCTGAAAACTAGGCTTGTGCCAAACGCCAGACTTTTAATGGAAGTCTTGGCAGACGTCGTTCAAAGCTTTGCAAGTTATTTTCTGCACACAATGAAGTTTGCATGGAGAAAAGGAGATAGAAAATAGGGTTGCAACACAACAGGGCTGCCAATCGCAGGGAGAAGCTATGCACATTCAACAGGCTTCCCTTTTACAGAGATTTTTTTTAAAAAGGAGAAAAGCACTCTGTGCATGCTCAGAGACACCTTTGCCCAAGTGGCAGCATTTGAAATACTGAGCGAAAATCTTCCGAGCTACAGTTCCTAGCTTGGCAGATGCTTTGCATTCCTACCCAACCCAGCTCAACTCTTCCTCCTTCCCAGCAAAAGTCAACATGAAGCCAAGCCCTCCCCTGCTCATCTCAGTCCTCCTCCCCAGCAACCAAGTCCTGCCAAGGGACAAAGGCGGGAACGAAGCGTGACGGACACCCAAGCAAGCCAATGTCCGGCAGGGTATCCATCCCCACCTCGCCCACTCACCAATCAGCGCCGCCCAGCCCCACAGGGGCGGGGTTCCTTCCCGGCTCGTTCGAGACGAGCGAAGACGAAGAATGCGCCTTCCGCCATCTTGGGTGCGGCGCCCATCGCCTCAGCCTCCTTTCCGCACTCGTGGTACAACCCAGCGCCGGGCGGGAGAACGGGAGTCGGCTGGGCCCGTTCGTGGAGTATACACATATATTTATATATATTAGAAAAAAACCTCCGCACAACCCGAAATCATGCCCTTGTTTCATAATATACTGTAAGCGACAACTCAAGCGGACGCCACGCTCAAGATGGCGTCGGCGTCCTCCCCACCTCGTGCGGGAGACGCGCGCCGTGCGGGGTGACGTCACCGCGCGCTTCTGGGCATGGGCAGGTGGGAAGAGCAGGCTAAGTTTGGCCCCTGTTAGGAGGAGGGAAGCGGGAGCAGGAGGCAGGCTGCTGTGCGTGGGAAAACTCAAGGCAGGCTCCGGTCTCCTTCTTCTCCCTCCCCCCTTCTCTCCCCACTCCCCTGCCTTTTGGGGTGGCCAGGCCTGCCAGCCTTCCCTTTTTTCCCTTTTTGCCTGTGCTGGGGGAAGCAGCTGCTGGTGCCATGGCTGCTGAAGACTCCAGCTCCCTGCCCTGGTCCATCAACAAGGATGATTACGAGCTGCAGGAGGTGATTGGTGAGTGGGGCCGGGCACTTGGGGGGTGGGAAGGACGAGGAGGCCGGGGGGGGGGGTTGCTGCTCCCTCCCCAGATCTCTCCAGCTAGGCCTGGCGTGGCCAAAATGCGAGGAAGAGGAGGGTGGATCTTGCATTTTCTAGGGGGGCTGCACTTTTGCACCGTGTGTGCGTGAGCCTAGGAGTTGCTCTCCTCCCTCTCGCTCGCTCTCTGTGTGTTGGGACTCCCGTGTGCAGCATATAATCCTGCCTTTCAGCTGGAGGAGAGGAGCGCAAGGGGGTGTGCCTCTGCCTGGCATTTTCGCGTGTGCACTTGGGAGTGCGTAGGTCTGGGAAGGGCTGGCCTCTCCAGGTCTGTGTCAGGGCATCTGATCTGACACTTTCTCTGCCCCGCTCTTTTCCCTGAAATCTGGGGCCAAAGGGCCCAGATGGGTTTTCAGTGACTGTTTTGTGTCGACAGGGTGGCTTCCCTTGTGAAACGGAGTCCTCTGCCCCTGGGGAGGAAACATTTCTGAGCCAAGCATTGTGGCCACCTTATATGTCGTGCTTGCGGAGTGGAAATTATATCTGTGATGTGTCTGTCTATTTGTCTGTCTGTATATGTACACACACACGTGTGTGTGTGTGTGTGTGTTTAAATATATGTATGGCATACCATGACCCCTATCTTAAATGTCCTTTTCTGGCTGCAAGTCTTGCTGAGGTCAAAGGGGTTGTGAATAGTGCTCTGGATCGCAGCCCGGAAAGAACCAAATTAATGTAGGGAGTTGCATGTGTCATGTTCATGCAACGAAAAGGACAGAGTGGGCATTGTGTGCTTACGGGCGTGTGCAGGTTGTGTATATATGTGAGGATGTGTGTCCGGCAGCTCTTAGCGGTGACAGGCAAGCCTCTTTCTTGGAGCTGGGTGGGTGGTGCTGGGTGGTGGTGCTTTGGAGGTGGGGGCCTTGCATGTGTTGCGCCTGCCGCACGTGTGCTTTGGTGCTGGCGGGTGACCCAGTTCAGGAAAGAATAGTTTTCTGGATGCCTTTTTTTCATTCATCTGGAGGACCATGTGTGTCTCCCGGGAGTTCATGGTGTACGTCAGTTGCATCTGGGGAAAGGTTTTGTATTGGCATTCTTGCTTTTCAAAATACTGTAGAGCTTGCTGCTTCTTAGCTAGGTGGGAGAGTCATGCTTTCTCATGCGAAGTCGGGGCTAAGGTGTTTGTGCATGCGTGAACATGTGTGCCCTGAGCTGCTTGGCTGTGGTAGATGTATGAGATTTTGTGGAATTTGGAGTGTGGTGAAGTGATTACCGTGGACCTGAGAGATCAGGGCTTAAATCCCTACTCAGCCTTGAAGCTCACTGGCTAACCCTGGGCCAGTCACCATCTCTTAGCCTAACCCACCTCACGGGGTTGTTGTGAATATAAAAGGGGGTGAGCAGAACCATATATGACTCCTTGGGTTCTTTGGTGGAAAGGTGGGATATGAACGTAATAAATCTGTGCCTGATTTGGAGGTGAAGGAGCACTTGAGTCGAGTGTTCTCATGCATAATACAATTCTGTGCACCCCATTTTGTACACAATTAAAAGACCTGGATCTTATCTTGCAGGCACACAGCTATAGTTACATGCTACCAGTTCAGCACGCCTACTCCTGCATGTGTGTATTCCTGTACAAAGCTCTACAGATGATATCTGTTGGCGTTAGCGCTGTAGGCTTTCCTGGGATCTCTGTCTTCTCCGAAGGGAATGGTGTGTTGCGACTTTGTACTGGGTTGTAGGTATCTGCAGGCCTGCAGCTACTCTCCCTGTTAATGATGCTCGAGGGATGAGGTGGTTTGAATACCTGTGGTTTGAAAGCTCTGGGGGTGTGGCTCTGCTATCATTTTAAGGTTTTTGTAACTGGATCCTTGCTCTCCGTCAAACTTTCTCTTGCTAGAGCTGTGGAGATACAGGGTGCACAATAGAATTTTCAGTTCTTATATTTCCTCTTTGCCTCTTTAGTTTGCTGTAACAGACGCTCTCGCATTTCAGCGCTCGGAGGTGCATCTGTAAAGCTCAGGAAGAGGTCAAAACTCTTGAGGAGGTGTTAGCTGCTGGGAGATTTGAGGGTCTGTTGCATTGTGGAATTCATTGTGGGCTTGCAAAGTAAGCATTTTAGTGTTGGTGCAGCCTTGCAAATTTATAATGTATCGCTGAAACAGTGTTTGTCGCCCTTCATCCTGACACCTACTCTTGTGTGGTGACTCTTCTCCCCCGCCTTGGGGTGTGAGTTCATTGGGAGGACATCAGTGTTTGTGACCTTGGAATGGATGGTGGGTCCATAGAGTTGGTGCCCAAAACTAAAGGAAGCCCTAGTCCCAAGTCCAAGGAAGTTTGCTATGTATTTGTGACACCTCTGTACTGCTCATCAACCAAGCCCTCTGGTTTTATCAAAATCAGCAAAGTCAGTCTAAAAAAGTGATTGGACACAAAGCAATCTAAAAAATATTTAAAAGCATCCTGAAGGATTAGTGCCAATGATCTGAAATGTCCCCTCCTCAAAACTATATAATTAAAAGTTATGGGATTTTTTAAAAAAACCAAAAAACAGATGTTTAGTTGGCACTGGAAAGACCATAACAGAAGTATCGGATGAAGAAGAACAAGAGTTTGGATTTGATATCCCGCCTTTCACTCTCTTTAAGGAGTCTCAAAGCGGCTAACATTCTCCTTTCCCTTCCTCCCCCACAACAAACACTCTGTGAGGTGAGTGGGGCTGAGAGACTTCAGAGAAGTGTGACTGGCCCAAGGTCACCCAGCAGCTGCATGTGGAGGAGCGGGGAAGCGAACCCGGTTCACCAGATTACGAGACTACCGCTCTTAACCACTACACCATACTGGCTCTCTAAGGAAAATAATATGCAACTGGGGTGCCAACACTGCAAAAGGCCCTCCTCCTGGTGACCTCTCACCTTGACTCATTAGGACGGAAACCTGGAGAAGCAGCTCTGCTGAAGATCTATTCTTAAGGGCCAGAGAGGGATACCTGACTGGAAGCGATCCAAGCTTGTCACAAGCTGTTGAGGGCTTTAAGGGTGCTTTGAATTGGGCTTGGAAATCAGGGGTGCGGGTTTTCCAGAAAACTGTGAATTGTAAAATTCTCCTGTGAATTTTTATCAACGTTTTCAGTTTGCATTGGAAAATGTTACAATGCCCACAAGAGTGATCTGATTCAGCGTGTTCGTTCCACTCGCGTTGCTTTAAAAAGCCGAACTTTTCTGAAACTGCCCTGCTTGCCTAATTTTTTTATTTGCAGTTGACATCTCTTCTTTGTTACAAACGAACATATAAGATGGAATTCCCCCCGTGAGATTTTTCCATCCCATATCCCTGACTGGAAGCCAGTGCAGGTCACGGAGCCTGGTGTGATGTGATCATACCTGCCAGCCCCAGTTATTATAACCCTGGTGCCCCACACTCTAGGCCTGTTGAAGTTTCCAGACCCATTTTCAAAGGCAGCCCCATGCATATCACTGTGTTGCTGTAATAACCCCACTAGGAGGTTACCAGAACTTCATTAACCATTGTAAGGCTATCTCTGCCCAACTAAAGTTGCTGTTGGCCTGTCTGCCAAAGCTGATGAAAGTGACTGTGCTGAATCGAATAGCACCCCCAGTTCTCAAACCTCCTCCTTTGGATAGATAGAGCAGAATGCAAACCATTAAATGAGCAGATGAACCACCCACTAGTTCCGCTTCTTGAGATCAACTTGGCAAAGGCTGCACTAACAGCTCCTCTGCCTTGCCCGGGATTGAGGCTCCATTCACTGGCTGTCATTCATTCCATTTCCATGCCAAAGCTGTGGTTCAGAACACCCACTGAGTTACCTGGATTAGATGAAAAGGAGATAGAGAGCTGGGTGTCACCCGCATATTGGTGACACACCAGCCCCCCCCCTCGGTGACCTCTCCCAGTGGTTTCATGTAGGTGTTAGATAGCCCGGGGGATAAAATGGAGCCCTGTTGAACCCCATGGCATAACTGAGATAGGTCAGGGCAATAATCCCCCAGAGTAATAATTCCTTGAATCAATCGTCCAAGTGAGAGCACCATCATTGCCGTGTAGGGCCTCTGGGCCCCAAACCAGGCAACAAGTATCCAGACAGATACCGTGATTGATGGTATCAAAAGCCACTGAGAGGTCCAAGAGAATCAACAGGCACTTTGGTGAGATCTCTGGGAAAGATGCAGCAGGGTGAAGTATGGGGATGGTAGCTGATTACAGGGCCAGAAGGGAATAGACAGGGTGATGGTGATGAATGGTGCTGCAAGAGGGTGCATGCAAAAACCCAGTAGAATGTGAAGGCAGGGGAGATGGGAAGTGAAGACAATGGAAGGCCCACGAGAGCAGTGTGTAGCAAGCGCATTAGGTTCGTGAGCATGGGTAGCCAACATAGTTGGCTACCAGATATTGTTGGACTGCAACTCTTATAATTCCTGGCCATTGCTGGCTGAGGTTGATGGGCGTTGGAGTCTTTCAACATCTGGGGACTATTCTGTTGACTATCCTTGTCCTAGAAGATGGCTTTCCAGGAAAGGCCAGGGATGGAACCACCCTCGTTGCGAGAGTCTTCATCCATGGTAGTGCTGGAGGTCTTTACATTTCTTGAAGGTATCTTGAGGACAGATGGGGCATTCCAAGCCCACCTATTGGTTCGTTGGACTATGGTAGCTGCTGTTATGCATCATAGCTGTGGAAGAATTGCCTCTTGGAAAATACTGGTGACACGGTCTCTCCTTTGAAGGCTTCTGAATTCTGAACCAATATTGTTGGTTGGTTCCTCAGTAGGCTGTCCCATGGCACCCCCTTTGTCTCTTTCCCCTGCAAAATAGTGAGTGACTGCAAACTCTCTCCTGGCTGTCATGGTCATGTGTATAGTACCTTAGAGATAAGGAATTGTGTCACATTCAGTTGGGCTAGTAGTTTGACAACTTAACTGTCCCGTTTTCATCATTCAGAAAAAGCTCCCATGC